CAAAAATAGGAGGCCCACAGACCATGATTTGTAGCCCACAACATGAAGAAGAAATAGGAATTTCTCCCTGGTGTCGGCGTTACTTACAAAAGGCTTGGGAAGGTATGGAAATCAAGTTCCATTCTGGAACTGCAGGGATGGCTGAGTCGGTAAAGCAATTGCTAAACAAGCATGATGTCCTGGGGTGAGTCTCTAGAAGCCTTGTGAAAAAGCTGGCATGGAAGGGTGTGCTTGTAATCACAGCACGGAGGAGGCGGAGACAGGAGATCCCTGGGACTCACTGGCTAACCACTGAGGACTGATACCCAGTGATGACCCCAGTTCCACATGCATGTGCATGAACGGCATATGCAGCCCTCCTCACCCCACTGCCTCTTAAGTTGTGCTCTGAATACATTATATCTGAAATTAACATGGATCAGATAGTATAGGGAGGGGCTTTGGCTGGCTAGAGCATTTCCTGACCCGATCCTCGTAGTCCAGAAACAGACATTCAACTCCTACAGATACATAGAACCAGGACAGATCTGAGTGCCTGCTAGCAGGGAGGAGGCCATTTTGGCTAACGTAACAGGAAAGCATCTGCTTAAAATAAAGACAACAAACAAGGAAGATGGAAAGAGGGGACGGACTAGTTCTAACTAGATAATACTAGTAGTTAGCTCAAGCTGTCTCTTACAGCAATGGGAGGCAACACATCTTCATTTTGTTGACACTAGTTTTAGTTGGCTTCTGTCACTTGTAATTGAAAAGCACCACCAATTCACAGACCCCCTAGGACATGCTTGAAAATTTCTAGGTTTGGTGGGAAAGATAGACTCTATTTCAAATTTTCTAGCTATTTTATGCTTGGAGAAATAACATAAAGTCTTCAATTCCAAATTTCACTTAAACTGCTTTTATTAAAATCCTTTTAAAAAGACTATTTAATTTTATGTGTATGGGCATTTGGCCTGTTATATATGCCTGTCAGAAACCCTAGAACTGGAGTTACAGACACTGTGAGCCACCATATGGGTCTTGGGAATCAAACCTAGGTCTCTCCTGGAAGACTATAAGTATTCTTAACCACGGGGCCATCTTTGAGCCCCAAATTTACTTATTTTCATTTTATGTGTGTACTTGCCTGTATGTGTGTATGTGTATCACATGCATGCCGGGTGCTCGGAACTGAACCTGGATCCTTTGGAAGAGCATCTAGTGCTCTTAACTGCGGAGTCATCTCTCCAGATCTTTATTATTTATTTAGATCTTCACTTAGGCCTATCTGGAAATAATATGTGAGTCCTGCCTAAGCCCACCCGAATGCTAATACAGCACCATAACTGCTTTGTTTATGGAACACCCACCTTGCAAAGAAGCAACTCTTTGGTGGTCAGAATTGTGCCACTTTTTCTTGTGACTCGAACCTACTCTATTAAAAGCATGCCAATTATTCAACTATCCATTCTGAATTAAAATGGGGAGCTTGTGAGGTGGCTCAGTGGTAGAGGTACCTGTAAGCCAAGCCTGATGACCTGACTTTGATCCATGGAACCTACATGGAGGACAGAACTAATTATCCCAAGCTGTCCTCTGACTTCTACACGTACACCCACACCTACAACACAATAAATACACCCGGGAGGAGAAAGTGCAAGGAAAGGACAAGGTTCAGTTATAATCAGAGCTGGCTTTCTACTGCATTAATACAAATGACCATAGGTAAAGGAAGATGCTGGAAACAGTGTGTCAGGTCCCAGAGGGCTCTAGGCAGTTTCCTATTTCAAAGGGTTCAATTAAACTTTTTAATGGCTTGTACTTTTAAAGGAAATGGTACATGTGCTTCTGTTTTATAGATAAAACACGGAGAAGACTGGACAAAACACTGCAAATGTTAAAGATCACCAAGAGCTGGGGAGAAGTAAACAGGTTTCCTCTGATGTTTCATATTTTATTTTTATTATTTTTAAGTTATTTTTATTTTACTTTGTGAGTGTTTTGCCTGTCTGTGCAATATATGCATACCTGGTTCCCACAGAAGCCAGATGAAGGTACCAGATCCCCTATATTCTGGATAGTTATATATTATAACGTGGGTGCTGGGAATCAAATCCTGGTCCTCTGGAAGAACAGCCTGTACTCTAACCACTGGGCTTCTCTCCAACCCCCAATGTTTCATATTTTGGAGAGAGAAGAAAAAGCCAAAAGCTGAATCACAAACGCTCTGTTAAATAGCTATTATATTGCTGATTTTGTGTCAGGTACCAAAGCTTGGCCCTTTCAAACTGGCTTGTCTTTGAGAAGGTGCTATTGTTTGGGCTGCCTATAGAAGTTATATACTAGTGAACGACATAAAGATTACCTTACTCTAGGGTAGTTTCTGCAATAGCAAGTTTGCTTGTAGAAACAAAGGCTTTTAGGAAAAAATAAGAGAGAGAGAAAAAAAAACTAGAGGTAAGTATGGTGGCATGTGCTTTTAATTCCAGAACTATGGTAGCTGAGGGAGGAGGATTTTGAGTCTGAGGTCAATCTAGGCTATATAAGTGAGGCAACAAGAAAAAGTGGGGGTGGGAGTGGGGGATGGGACATGAGAAACAGATAAGGGAGAAGAGAGAGGGGAAGGCAGGAGGTGTGTGTGTGTGTGTGTGTGTGTGTGTGTGTGTGGAGAGAGAGAGAGAGAGCGAGAGAGAGAGAGCGAGAGAGCGCGAGCGACCATGATGGCATTTGAAAGGTTCAGCATGCAAATAGTATTGATATGCCAATATGTGATGATATTTTGTTTGTGTTTTAACAAATAAATCTTGCTTGAAGATCAAAGTACAGAGCTAAGCCACTAGAGGTCATGGAGTGGTGGCACACACCTTTAATCTCAGCACTTGGTAGACAGAGGCAGAGGATCTCTGTTAGTTCAAGGCCACTGTGGGCTCCATGAGATTGAATTTGTCTAAAAAACAGCTCACACAAAGGTGCTCCCAGCACTTGGGATCCCACACCTTTAATCCCAGCACAAGGGAGGTGGAGATAGGCGTGATGTGGCTGAGCAGAGAGAGGAATATAAGGTGGGAGGAAACAGGAGCTAATTGCATCTGAAGCAGTTCGTCAAAGGACGCAGTCTAAGGACAGGATCACCCCTTTGGTCTGAGCAGTGGCAGAGGTAGAAGGTCTCTAGTGGCTGGCTGCACTGCTTCTCTGATCTCTCAGTTTTTACCCCTTAACACCTGACTCCACATTTTTCTTAAGAACAATTAGAATTCGTGCTACACCAATACTGCAGAAGATTTGTTGTAGGCCAGACTTCATTGTTGGAGACTTGGTATTGGTCAAAAGTTAAGAGTCGGAGATGGCACAAACCTGCCCTCAGAAGGCTGAGGCAGAAGAACCAGGAACTTGAGGCTAGTCTGGGCAACACTAGCTAAGTTTCAGCAAGTACATGGCAAGACTCGCCCCTCTCCAAAATAATCTGGTGCTGAGGTGGCTCAGCCTCTGAATGATTGTGAGCAGACCTCCTTCCCACACCAGTGATCCACCGTGAGAACCTGACACAAGCTACTCATCCATTCTTGGGAGGTAACTGTGTTCGCATACATGCCTTAGGCCAGTGGATCTCCTGAGGTCCATCCAGGTCACTAGTGAAGAGATCTAGTGCAAGAGACTAAAAACCAGCACATAACAGTTATCTGACCAGGGTGGGGGAACTGGCTCAGTGGTTAAGAGCACTGGCTGCTCTTTTAGAGGACTTCAATTCCTAGCACCCAATCTCCTTTTTTGGTCTTCTCAGGTATAGACATACATGGAGACAAAAAACCCATACACAAAGAGTAAATGCAAAACCAAACCAAAACAAACATCTGAACTAAAAGAGTTTGTGGAGACAGGGTGCACATGTATTATGTACTGTAGACTGGCCTTGAGCTTGGGATCTTCCGGCCAAAGCCTCCGAGTACTAAGATTATCAAGAGGCATCACCACACCCATTCAGACAGACATGCTAATAATCCTTCCCTTACATGCAGAATGAATAACCATAACACCACGTTAAACCACGAACTTACTTTCCCTAGCATTACTAGAATGCCCCTCCACTCAGCTTACTTCCTCATGTCTAACTATGCATGTTTTATTCTTTATGAATAGCTTATTTGCTGTCAGTGTCTGGAATGGCCTTTTTAATGTAGGCATATTTATATATAAAACTAAGATAAACATCATTAAGTCCAGAAGAAACACAGCTTGCTAATAAACTATTCTTTTAAAAATATTTCACTCTAGTTTGGGTGCTGTTTCCCATGCTGTGACGCCGACGGGAAGGAAAGCACTAGCAGGGCTGCTAGCGGAGCAGCATGAACACTTTAACAGAAATGACAGGAAGGGCAAACATCTAACACAGCCCAGATTAATGTTAAAAATATAGATTCCTTTTCTTCATATAAAATTATTTCCATTAAATGCATCTATAATCTTATTACTACTCTTAATTTTATGTGTATGGTGTTCTGCCTAAATGTATTCTGTGCACCATATGTATGCCTGGTGCCTGCAGTGCCCAGAGGAGTGTCAGATCTCCTGACCTGGAGTTATAGATGGCTGCAAGCCACCATGTGGGTGTAAGGAGTCAAACCTGCATCTTTAGTAGAAGAGCAGCCAATCTCTTAACTACCGAGCCATCTCTCCAGCCATAATATTTTATTGTGTGTGTACACACGCTTGCACACACGAGGGCATTGGTGTGTGTAACAGAAGACAACTTTCAGCAGAGGGCTCTCTCCTCCCAAAGTGGGTTCTGGGATCATCAGGCATGTGTATGAATGACTTTACAGAGTGAGTCATTTCAGAGGCTCTTAAATGTATTTTAAATCTAAAGAAATGAAGTATATGTTGGAAAGACATAGCTGTATTAATTAAGACTTCTTTTCTGAGTGTCATTAGCAGAGTGGATGCAAACTTAATCATGCTTCTCCTCACTAATACTATGTTAATGAAGTAGGGTACACTTAAGATCAGTATAAACATATACATACCACAGGCTGCTTTGTGATGTCCACTAAATCCTTAAGATTATAGTACTGATGTTTCTCAAAGGCTGAAAACAGCATGTCTAGGACGTGTTGTTTGTCTGCCCGGGCCCGCTTTCCATCTTCTTTTTTCTTCCTTTCATATTCAATCTACAGGCACAAACAGAAGAAAGGCATCAACTTAACCTTCTGGAAACAGGTACTTCTGCCTTAGTCATCTGAGAACTACATTTAAAGCTCCAAGGTATGAGGCCTCTGGCAGGGACTCAGAATCGGGGTCTTGTTGCCCCAGCATTCCCAGTAGTACCCTCAGACTCTAGGACAGCTATAACACTGCTCTATAAACCATTTTCAGTTTCTCTAGAAGTTTTATGTAACACATTCATTTCCTCCAAGAAGGTTTTCTTCCTGGTTAACCTGGACTAGCCAGAAGCTAACTTGCAGTTCCTTTGTTTTTGATTAATCACAATACAGCAAGATAATTTTATAATACAAGTTGTAATTGGTAGGCAACAGCTCAGAGTCCGCAGGCACAGGCTTGTTACAGGGCAGATTCTCTAGCACCTGAGAAGTAAGGGAAGCAAAAGGCAAAAAGGCTGCTCCCTCTGACCCCTCACTGCTGCCTTACTTCTACACACTGAGGTAGGCTTGACAACAAGGAAGGTAAATGCCCTCAGCAATGACATCAGCAGACTATTTTTCTGAATCTTTATCTTACAAGTGTCCTCTAAATTTACTGTATAATATACCTCTTAGTCAAATAAAACCAAGACACTAGGACCATGCTTTGTGCACACGACAGTGCTGCACATCTTTACAGATACCAACACGAGATGCAACTCTCACCCCTCATCAGAGCTTCTCTTTGCAGTGGATGGAGACCATTGTAGATGGAAGCTACAAATGGTCAAAAGCACCTAGGGTGCCCACTGCCAATAGATACATCTACAACACAACCCAGGGAACACACTGGAAGAGGAAGTGAAAAATTATTAAAAGCCAGGGGACCAGGATATCTGTTACAGTATTTCTGTATGAGAAAGATAAGCTGTATCCATGACATTGCAACACTATGGTCACCTAAATAAAACCTGAATAATGGCACCAGTTGACACGCAACTTGAATGTGTGAAATCTCAGAAAGCCCCATGCCTACATAAAGAGCCACAAGTAACTGATGATGGTTGAAAGAGAATCAAGTCTTTTCCAGGGATGAACAACCTAACTGGTTATCCAGTGTCAGTGGATCAGTGTATATATATGAAAAAAAAGTATACATATGAGCAACACTAGATGGACCCAGCAGGTTATTTGTAAGTATGTATGCATATGAGCACACACATAGGCTAGTTTTATGTCAATTTGACATAAATTAAGAGTTATCTGAAAGGGAACATCAACTGAAAAAAATGTATCCATAAGATCTGGCTATAAGGTAATTAGTTATTGAGGGGGGATGTCCTAGCCCATTATGATGGTCCTGGGTTCTACAAGGAAGCAGGCTGATTAAGCCAGGAGGAGCAAGCCAGGAAGCAGCACCCCTCTATAGCCTCTGTATCAGCTCCTGCCTCCAGGTTCCTGCCCTGTTTGAGTTCCTGCCCTGACTTCCTTCATTGATGAACTGCAATGTGAAAATGTATGCCAAATAAACCCTTTTTTCCACAGCTTGCTTTGGTCATGGTGTTTCATAACAGCATCAGTAACCCAACTAATACAACATATTTTAATAATAATGATGATGATGACGACTATAGAGATAATACATGAAGCTTGAAGGTAGAGAGATGGGAGCAGTGAGAGAGGGAGCAGGATATGACAACAGAGGCTTGAAAATGATCAAAGTGGAGACAAGTATGGAATGTAATGAAATCCAGTATTTTGTGCAGTTGTATGAATGCCAATAAAGTTAAGCCAGTAGTTCTCCCTCATTGCTATCATCCCAGTACTAACCATTTGTGGAAACTTATCTTTGCATTTAATCCATTGGGAAGATAGCTTAGTTAGTAAATGCACAAGGACCTGAGTTCCATGCCCAGAATCCAGGTAAAAAGCTAGGTATAGTGCTAAGTGCTTGTAATCCCAGTGCTGGGCAGGCAGAGATAAGACAGATACCTGAGGCTGAGTTCAGGAAGAGTTTTGTGCCAGTGAGAAACCTCGTCTCAAAGAAAAAAAGCTGATGGTCCTGTGGGCTTCACAAATATGTGTTTGCGTGTGCACATGTACACACACCCAGAAAATATATTGCTTTTCTCATTTATGTCAGTTGGTTAAGCTTAATTTCTTCTTCATGAAAAGGCAGAGTAATGTGCCGGAGGGAGGTAAGGTCAGTCTTGAAGCTCACTGGGTAACTAAAGCTTTGGTGGGCTGGAAGAGGGCAGCAGAGAGGAGACCCTGCTCACTGAGGTTGCTGTAGTGTGGGGACCAGCTTCAGAACAAACAGCACAAGCACGCAGAGCTAACAACGGAACTGTGGTGCAAATTCCCCAAGATTTAAGCTTATGTTCTCTACTTTAAGAGTAGTGGTCGGACAGCACGGAAGTTCCCAGGACAAGATCGTAACAGAGGGAAAAATCTCAAATGCATGCATTGCTGGGGAAGAACAAAGCTCAAGCCAGTTTTAAGATTCTCTCAGTGAGACAGGCCTATTAGTGGAGGCCTGTGATTCCAGCTACTTCGGAGGCTGAGAAAAGACCAAAAGTTCAAGGCTGCCTGGGCGACAGAGCAAATTCAAGGCCACCCCAGACAACTTAGCAAGACTATCTCAAACCAGAAAATAAAACAAAAGGCCGAGGACAGAGATCAGTGGTAGGATGCTTGCCTCAGTAGCAAAAGAAAAAAAAAAACATAAAAAATGGAGGAGGGGTGTCTTGAAAATAGCACACCTACGTGTGGCTATGAAAATTTTAGAAGAATACATGCTTTCTCTGGGTGCAAAAGACAAAACTAAGAGAATGATCATACTGGGGAGTAAGAAAACACAGGTAACCAGGACCAAACTTGCAAACCCAAGTATTGCAACATTCTACCCCCCACCTTTAATTTACGCTGAAGAATACAGGAGAGACTGAGCTTAGGAAAGGGGGGCGTAATGGTGTATTAGCAAGGTCCTCTTTGTTTGAAATGACTGGAGAAGCTAGAAGTTCAGTAGGAAAATGATTTCATAATCTTGCCAGTAAAGCAAGATGGCTCCCTTGAAGACACACATTCTACTTGGCAGTGGTGAGATATTTATGTGTGTGTGTGTTTTCCCAATCCCCAAATCTAGACCCAGTAAGACTTGATTCAAAGGTAAGATTTTAGAATAAATTACAAAAAGTCCAAATTAACACTAAAGATTAAAACTCAATTAAATTTTAATTAGTAAGTGTTAATTAGTAAGAAAACGAATGACCAAATAAGTACCTAGATTAAAAAAATTCCTGGTTGGCATGTTCTACCCTAAATAAGCTGACTGCACAGGTTCTGGTGTTTTCCTTCTTTAAATGAAGGGGCAGGGTGGTGGATTCCTCGAGCCCAGAAGGAGATCAAGGTCACCCTCAGCTACAGAGGATCAAGGTTAGCTATGGGCTACATTCATAAAGCAACCCCTCCCACCAAACCAAGTGTAACCTGAAAACCTAGGTGTCTAAAACAGCAAAGATGAAGATGGAGTTATCAGTTCTCATCAGAGAGCTTTTAGGCACTGGAATTTAACTGTACTTTCTGAAAGGATAACAGAACATGTACTTAGTGTACATGGGTAACTCACAAAAAAAAAAAAAAAAGGACTTTTAAAATAAATGGTTAAATTTGCTTTGGTAGTGTCTAATACAGGTTCATAACCCAAATTCTCATCTGTGGTGTTATCAGTCAAGTAGGCCCAGTGCTCATGTCCTATTAAAATTAATAGTCTATTAAGTCTATTAAAAGAGACTTAGATGCATCAAACTATTAGTGCCTAATACTGCTGTTTTTCTTTTTGTGTATGGGTGTTCTCTATGCATGTATGTCTGTGCATCAAGTGTGTGCCTGTTGCCCATAAAGGTCAGAAGAGGGCAATGGATCCCCTGGAACTAAAGTTCTAGGGGGTTGTGAGCCCACTACAGGGGTGCTGGGAATCAAACCCAAGTCCTGTGAAAGAGCAGCCAGAGCTCTTAAATGCTGAGCCATCTCTTTAGCTCCACTAATACTGAATGTTGTACTTAGAGCAAAGCTAAGGAGTTGAAGTTCAGTTTCATGTTCCACCACATAAAAACAGTGTCCTTCTTAGTATTGTACTCAATTAACACTACAAACAAGGCCATACAAATAAACTATTAATACTATCAACTACTGTACCCAGAAGAAGACTACTGTGTCATGTTGCGTCTTTTCCCATTGGGCATGTTGTTTCTCACTGATGCCCGTTGGAACTGCAGGGAACCCATATGCAAAGCAGCCAGCCAGTCAGCTCATTAGCAGCCAGGACAATGTATAAATTACTAAGATAGCTACTGGAACAGAAGTAATTATTATGTCATATGAATTTTACTTGCTGATATTTTATCCGCCTCCACTGACCACATCACTACAGAGCCAACTGTTAGAGATAAATGTTAACTCAGAAAGCATTTTAAGCTTAAGTCTCCAGTTATAAATGCTTTATATTCCCCAAATTTATCAGATGAAATTAATTTCATTTTCTCAAGAGAATAAATCATTCAAGATTAAAATGTAACCACATGTTGAAAATTGACTGTGGATGTGGTATAGACATGCTCAATCGTTATTACTGAAACCTTAATCACGAACTAAAATTATAAATGCCGCCCACTACCAATTAAGATATTTTAATTCGGATGTCTGTAAATTTCTAGACTGTTGTTTGCAGAAATACTCTGTCTGCTTTGTCAAGGCAGTCTCTGTGAGGCTTTTATTCTAACTTCCGAAGTGATCATGACAGCCTTGATTCTCATGGCTCTGGATTTTAAATCCTGTGAAAGATTACTTCCTTCTCCCCTCTGTCAATGCTTCTATTTCTGATTAGTGTGTCATCATCGCTTGGGAAAAAAGCAATTCTTTAGAGCAGGTCAGTCCTTGGTGTGCAAATTCAAAAGGACAAGGCATATAGCATTCTCATATTAAACCATGTCAGGGAAATACTGCTGAGAAGCCCTTAGGATATAGTCCTA